AAAGTTCTGAATTATTTATTTTAGCAGTTTCAGCTGTTAATCTTTTCATATCTGTTCTCTTTTCATTTTATAGTTTTATTGATGTACTCTTGTAACTACAGGAGCAGAAATCATCACAGTAGAAGTCCACTAGCTAGTTACAGTAAAACTAACATAAATAGCACATGATGTACATGCCAAATTTCACAGAATACTTGGGCTTCTGAAATTTAAAATGTTTTATTCTGCCGAAATTTTGTAAGGCTGAGTTGAGATGTTTCTAAGTTTTTTTATTTAGTTACTTTTGTTAAAAATATATATAAAACAATAAATAAAAAATATACGTAAAAAACTTGGATTTAGAGTTTCCAAACTATAACTTAATATGTTTTATGAATCTTAATGAAATTTTGCAAACTTTCAGTAAGTATTACAAATCTTTTATAGACAAAAAAATAAATTTTTAATCAAGTATTTTACTAAAACTTTCTCCAGGAACACATGGAGTCAAACTGTTGGCTGCCCAAATGCAATGTGATTTTCACATTAAAATAAAAAATACTTTTCTTCATTGAAATGTTTTCAACTTTCATTTATGTAATCTCTAAAACCTCCTAAATAAATTTCAAAAGTACTTTTCAGTAAAACTTTATATTTTGTCTGTTATAAAAGTAACAACCATAAAAAAACACAAATTACTTTTTTTCCCTTCTAGAATGACTTCAATTTGTAATAGAAAAATTACTAATTTATCATAAATAGCTTAAAACTAGTAGCAATATACATCTGTTTGTACTTAAATTTTATTATTTTATTGCCCTTTGAACAATGTCTAACAATAATCCTACTAACAAGTTGTAAACTACTTGGCATACACTTAGCTTATGTTAACCTATTGAATTATGTAATTCAAAAGCTCCTGGCAAACTGCTCACTAGCCTCATGAAACTTTTTTTTTCATTACCCTACCTAATTTAATCTTATATAACCTAATATGTTCCTAATTTTTAAATTTGAATTCCTTTTATAATAATAATTAAAAATATACAAGAAAAACAAGAAATATAATACTTATCTGAGTGTTTTTTGTTCTATTTTGCTGTCGACTGTTGATGAAACTTAACCCTACATTTTATAGTAATGGCACTACTGCACTAAATAACTTGTTATTTAATTAAATAATGCACCTAAAAATATAGAATAATACCATGTAAAAAGCAAAACAAATAATATCCTATAACTATCATAATTTTTCTGTCTTTCTAACTACAATAAGAACCATAAACATTAAGCTAAGGTCATCAATGTGTTTTCCATAGGAATAAAGTTTGAACTGAAAGGAAAAAGAGACAATTATCTGTACAGAAAACAACATAATAAATACATCATCTGATAGATTAAAACTTTGGCTTTCTATTGGCTATAAATAATATAGTATTAAATGTTAAAGTGAACTATTGGAAAATTGTATAAGAGAGAATGTAACAGATGTGTGTGTGTGTTTTTCTGTTGTGCATGTGTGTGAAATATCATATTAGCCAAATTGGCTTACTTCTCGTATGGAAAATGATACACAGTTCAATAATACTTACCATAACTCTGAGCTTTCTTAACATATCTTCACAAATGGTAAGAATTTGTTAAAAATTACAAGTATTTTGTACAAAAAGAATGAGATTATTTTAATTAAGTATTTTAACTAAAGATTTGTTATTTTTGTATTTTAGTTAATTACACTCAGACTCTGAATATTCTGAGTATTAAAATCAACATATAGTGCAATGAAATGTTCAAAATTAAGAAATAGAAAAAAAAATGCACCTACCTTTTAATTTTTTGTTGAATAATCTTAAAAAGATTTTCTTTTGGTTATATTCTTAATTGTAAGTTTCTACATTTTCCCATTCTTTATTTTTTACGTTTTATTTTACTTTCCTGTCCTTTAGCATTATTACTTATCACGATACATGTCAATGGGCATCCTCAGGCAATATTATATTACCAGCAGAGACACTTTAGCTTTCATCAAAATGTTGACACATTCACCTAATACAATAAGCCTCATGAACAGAGGCACTTTGGCTTATATTTTTAAAAAATTATTAAACCTTTCTAATATGTATTTTAAAACATAGATACAACTTAATTAAAATATAAAATTAAAGCCTAATCACAACTTGAATGTCTATCTAACTAGCATATGTATAGGTGAGAAACAAAACAAAGTACTAGATAGGATATAAGGGGCAACACTATTGAGAGCGGATTCAAGAACTTGTATGGAATTCTGCTTGCTAATTTGAAAATAACCAATGGAAAATTGTAGTGTAAAATTAGCTATTTCTATTGATTATAAACATCTAAAGAAATAAATAGTGTTGAGTGCAAAATTGTATGACTATCAGTAGAAAGTAGGTATGGCTTCTGCCAAGAAATCCCAAGAGATTTATTTTTCCTTTCTTGGAATTTGCCCTAAGGAATTTGAAGGGAGGATGTGTAAACAGAGCAATTAACCTAATTATAGTCTATACATTAAGGTCTATTGTACGAGAACAATTACCTTATTGGCCTGATTATAACGCGATCTTGAATACAAGACAGATGCTACCTGAACATTCAGGAATGTGATAGGCTAGAGTGGGAGGAAGGGGCCTGTGGTGGGCCTTGATTATAAGGTGACTATGAACTTTACAGCCTAATTATTAATCAAAAAACATTGTCTTATAATTGGTCCAATAGGGTACTTAAGTTACAAAGACTGAAAGCTAAGACTTGTAAATGCTTGTGCAACATGGGACAACAAAACTGAAGATTAAGAGTTTTTTTTTAAAAGTTTCTTTTAAAATAAAGGAATTAAAACATAGAAGAAAAAAATTATAATGAACCTTATAATGTTAATTTCATAGACATACACTGATAGTAATGTTGCTTAATTAAATTTGGAATGTAACTTAGTAAAACCTTGTGACATGCACAGAAATGGGATCTGTAACCAGAGTGTTGAAGTCTAAATGCTTTTTTACCACTTATGATGGTGGTTAAGCCCAGCACAATACAAGATACGTGTACTAGTAAATATTGCCAATTTAATGGTCCAGTAGAGAAGTAACTTAATCTAGTTTTAATACTGTCTATGACACTACAATGACAAAGCACATACAAAAAAAAAGACAACAGAGTATAAAAGGACAGAATGAGATCTGGAATTGTCAATTGAGTATGTTACATTAGAATGATTTTGAACACTGCAAATCAGCAGGTCACAGTAAATATAAACTTACAATGGAACACACTGTATAAAGACTACATTTTGAAATTAGTATTTTGTAGGTAGTATGATGCCACCAAAAATATTGTTCTCTTTTGGAAAGGTTATTTGTTCATGTTGGGGATTTAGGATTTCCAAGATGGGGATATCCCTTGTACTTGATGAAATTAGAAAAACAAAAAGAAACATGGATCAGTTTGAGGACCAGGTCCATCCAGAGAGAGACCTGCAGCAAACTGTACTCCAACTATGAAAAGTAAAGTACAGAATTTTATAACAGATGAAAATCCACAAACACAAATGTTAGAAACAATAGCAGGCCATATGTCTCAGGCAACATTAAGCAACATAATCAAGAAGGATCTCCACCTGGAAAATTGACACAAATCATGTGATACAAGTTACTTCCACAACACAGTAAGAATAAGACTAATTGTAGAAAATGACATTACATGGTGACACTTAATGAAACATACATGTACCTCAATAACTAACAAGTCTCATACCAATTTCTATCAGTCAATGGATGAAACAATTTTTCCAAAAGGATTCATGATCACCACTGGATATTACACCAGGGGAAAGTTAAGAATAACCAGAATGAATACAAAATTTAAAGTGAACTCTACTTATCAGATCAATGTTCTGGACCCTTTGTACCACACAGAAGTACTGGCTTTGTATGGAAACAAGACCAACAATGTATGGGTTCATCAAGAGAAGGTTTCCAATCATACCTCAAGAAGCTGGAGAATGAAATGAGTATTCATGCTATTCCTTAAGAAGACAATGATTAATTCACAGATAGTATACCTATGGATTTGTGTGATTGGACTGCTGATACAAGTGCTGTGGAAACTGTTATCCTCATACAATTAAAGATTATGGAAAGTTTCACAGAAGAATAGTGTACTTTGGACAGGAAAACCTTACAAAAAATATTTTGCAATGGAAACTACACTGCAGGGATAATGTTAAGATACATGGTGGTCAGAAAGAGCATGACCAGAAATGGTGACCTTGACTGTAACAAAATGGTAAATATCCTATTTCATTTTAACATAACATACTCAACCTTCTTACTCTAAACACACAAACATATCAAGGAGTGTTAGTGCTTCAAAATGAAATTTCATACACGGACCCTGTAAATGAAACAATACATGGTAAGTGATCTCACAGTATAACATAAAAGAGTCAATCATAAGCTTCATATATTATTATACAATGGTTTGGTTCATTTTAGATAATTGCATTAAGCAACATAAGGGCTATCTCTGCTAGTCATCCCTAATTTTGAGCTGATATACTAAAGGGAAGTGAGGCAGTCAACAGCACCTATTGCTATCACCACTTTGACTACTCTCATTGAAAAGTGGGATTTGACCACTACTTAACAATGGCCCCAAAGTGTGAAACAAGATTACATGCACTCATATATTTTTCAGTAACACAACATGAAAAAAGGACTCAAATCATATACAAGATTGTAAGTTAATATATTTAATGTGTTTTTTTTTTTTACATAAACTTCTTGGTCTAAATTCACAACTCTTTTCAACACTAATAATCACTACCTTATGTTTAAATTTTGTAATATAAAAAAAATTACTTAAGAATTTGTTCCTTGTCCAATATATGAAAAACAGAAACATACAAATACTGCATAAATAATGCAAACAATTAATAAACTATTCACATTTTTTTAGCTTCAATGTAAGAAATGTTATGCTTTAATATAAAAATAACTTACTAGTTCAAAGTCTTCTCTGGTTAATAGAAGAATTCCCCCCACAAAAGTTCGATAATGGTAACGAGGATGAAGATCAGGAGAGGCAATATGGAATGGTCCACCTTCTGGATAGGAGTAATTTAGGGCAGGGTTTAAAGGAAGAAGGTCAATGTCATGCATTGCTAAATAGTCACACTCCTCCCTACTCTGGAGATGACCAACATTAATTAGAGAAGCTCTATTAAACCTAAAAAAAATAATGTGAAATAATATTTCAGTGTCAAAACATATTCCTCTAACTAGAATTGTATTAAAATAATGCAAAACCTATAGTTTTAAAAAATTATTTCTTACCAAATATACAACTTGTGAAAATCCAAAAAGCACAAGAAGATAAAACATTTTTATCACATCAAAGCTATTATTATTACCGTAATAATTTCTCCATTCACTTTCACATATTTTTACATAAAATTTGAGTTGCTTGAGCAATTTCCGACACAAAAACTACCACTACCTCAACTGTATGTGAAAAACATGAAAAAGATGCTAATTAAAACCAAATTTTCACTGAACACATAAAACTGTAACACTCCCCTTAGTTTAAAGAATGGAATGGTAAGTACATGACCTCAAAGCATTTGTCACACTTCATCAAAATATATGTAACTTAAACAAGTGAATAGTTTTGAGCAAATTAACCAAAAAAACAGTTGATAATAGTTCAAAGAGTAATCTATTTTTTTGAAAATCTATTCACAGAAAGTAGAGAAGTTACATAGAGTAACCCCTGAAATTCGAAGTTCAGAACTAAAAAATTAACAAGTAAATTAAAAAAGCATAAATGCTTACGAAGTACAATTTACTGGTTCTGTACCATAAAACATGAAAGGATGTTTAGCTGGTAAACCTGTGTATGTAAAACAAATATATAGAAGCCATTTTCTTGAATTTTTACCACTCTAGCAAGTAACTGTTCACTTTCAAATACTCATTCAAAAAAATAAAAACACTAAAATGCTACAATAGATGAAATGATAATATCACAATAGAATGTAAAAGTTCCAATGTTTAGGAGCAAATTGTGGGCTACTATGTTTGGCAGTAGTACCCTTTTCTCAAGATCTTAATAGCTGATTAGACAAAAAAGGCATGAAGGTAGAAGAAGGCAAGAATGGAGATCTCTTGTTGTCTTGGACTCCCCTTGCCGCAGAATTCAGATCCCCACCTTCCTTCCCAAGATTTTTTGGCAAATGTATGTGTGCCATTTCCCCCCCCCCCCCCAGATTTAAAGAAACATGCATGTGTTTCTACCACAGGGAAACCAATATCTCTTTTCACACCAAAGCCAAAACCCTCTGGCAATAAGACGGAATGGTGATGCAGTGAATCCTGCAGTCTCTAGCCACAATCTTAACACAGGTGGTGGTAGTTATATGGTCATCTTGCAGCTGGGACAAGACAGGGATAGTTTTTAGCAACAACTATTACAACTGAACAGTCCTTTTTAGGATCCCCTCCACTCACCCTACACAGTGAAGGGGCTAGAAAAGGTGCCCAAAACATAGGCTCTCTCTATTTCTCCATGGTGGATTTGTATCTGGCTGGATTACTCACCCAAAATAAGACAATAATAGTCTTTGTGACATGAAATATTCACACCTTGATGAACACCCAAGATAATGAGTGACTGGAAAAAATAATTGCCATCATCTTAGAGAATTAGCAAGATACAACATCGACATTGCTGCTCTGAGTGAGGCAATGACTATACGAGGGTCAATAGTGGGAAGAAGGCAGAGGTTACACCTTTTGATAGGGAAACTGGCTCAGGACAAATGCAACTGAGGCATTGGCCTTACCAGATCATCAGCCAACTTATAATTCCCTGTGGGAATCAATAAATGCCTTACGACACTTCATCTTAAGCTCAGTAAAAAGCAGTAGGTTATTATCATCAATGTGCATGCCACAATGCTTGACACTGACAAATGCATCAAAGAACAATTCTATTCTGATTTTGACCAAGTCCTGACTAAGATTCCCAAGGGAGTCAAGATCTTTCTCCTTGGTGACTTCAATGCCAGATCAAGTTACCAGGGACTTTGGAGTGACACCATTGAGAAGGAAAGAGTAGGGAAAGCCAACTCCAATAACATTCTTTGTCATCATGAACAAAATACTTAGACAGAGCAACAAATGCAAAACTAACTGGAGAACCCTCCATCTAAACACTGGCTCCTCTTCAATTACATCATCCATCAGAGTCTGTAATCTGATAAACATCCCTATCATTAGAGCCAAGCAAGAAACTGATGATTGCTCAACAGAAAATCACCTTGTAAGAACCATTCTGAACATTCAGCTTGCTCCAAAACAATAGATACATTAAAGAGCAGTGCAAACAACTTTCGAAATCAACTCTCTCTTCAAAACCCAAAATCCTGCAAGGGTCTTCAACATCATTATAAGCTTTTTGCCTTGCCTAAAACTGAAGATGATATTAAAGATCTTTAAAAACTGCTGTCCACATGGCGTGTACCAAGTCCATTGGATATGCCACCCACTAACACCAAGACTGGTTTGATGAAAACAATAGAGTTTAAAGCCTTACTTGCCCAAAAGAGAAGAAAGAACCCATTCCATTCAGTAAAATGACATCTCATCAAAGAAGAAGGACACGTACTAACACCTTAATGCTGAAGCTCAAAGAAGAATTCAGAAAGTCAAAAACCAGTGGTGGCAAAGCAAAGAAGATTCAACACCATGCTGGTAAACAAGATATGTGCATCTTCTTCCAAGCAATAAAAATTATTTATGGCCCAACCTCTCACAACCCCGCTCCCCTGCAATCACTCCTGAAAGATAAAGAAACCATCCAAGTTAGATGTAAAGGTGCTCCTGAATCATGAGTCAACTGTGATGGATGCCACTATCAACTCCATCCACCATCATCATGAGAAACAGATCTATTGCCAACACTTCCTATCCTGGAAGAAATTTTAGGTGCTATTAGAAAGCCAAGAACAATGAGGCTAAAGGACAAGATGGCATTTCTGCTGAAATCTTAATGTATGTGGCAAGGAAATAGCAATGAAATTACACAATCTGGAGATTCTTGAGGACATGTAAAAATGCCATCATCATAACTGTTTTAAAAAAAGGAAACAAGTTATTTTATGGGAATTATAGAGGTATTACCCTACTCTCCATCAAAGGGATAAAGCCTTGCCCAAATCCTCCTGAACTGCCTTCTTCCTCTTGTCTAGGATATTCTCTCAGGATTGCAATGTGGCTTAAGACTATTCTGTGGGACAACTGATATAACATGTATGACCTATATGTAGTCTTCATCAACTTCACTAAGGTATTTGATTCTGTTAATCATGAAGCATTGTGGAAGGTGCTGACCAGATTTGGATGCCCTAAAAAATACATCAAAATATTATGGCTTCTCTACAGTCAGATGGCTGACAGTTTTATGTAGTGGATTAGAAACTGAACCTTTTTCCAGTCAAATTGGGGATCAAGTAAAATTGTGACATTGCTCCAACTATGTTCTCTATTTTTCTCATTGTCATACAGTTTCTCATCAAAGACAACCTCCCTCCCAGAATTAATAGTGATTACTGTATTGACTAAGGGTTCTTCAACCTGAGGCTTCTCCAATCAAAGACCAAAGTGTCTAAAACATCCATTTTTCACCTTGAATTGGCATATGACTGTGATATCCTTGTGTATTCTGAAGAAGAAATTCAGACTATGCTGAATTTGTTTGCAGAAACCTACTAAACCTTGAGCCTTTCTCTCAATACCTAGAAAACCAAGTTGCTCCATCAACCTGCTCCAAGCCACAAATATGATTCTCTGCAAATAACCATTGAAGGAAAGACTCTGAAGATAAAGGAACATTTCCCTTACCTCAGAAGCTATCTCTTTCAGAGAGTGGACATCAACATAATAAGATTCAATGCAGGATCTTGTGTGCAAGTGCCTCTTTTGGGAAGCTGCTTCAGGATGTTTTCACTGATCATGACCTTTGCAAGAACACCAAGATTCAGGTTTACAAAGCAGTCAGCATCCCCACACTTCTTTGTGGATGTGAAACATGGGTGATCTATCACTGACACTTTAAGCACCTTAAGAAGTACAATCAATGATTCCTTCATAAGATCCTTCACATCAAATGGAAAGATCATTGCACAAATATCAGTGTCCTTGCTGAAGCAGATGTTACTAGCATCGAGTCAATAGTCCTCAAATACCAACAGGCTTGGACACTGCATGTGGATCCTAATTGCAACCTCCCACAACAGATTACCTACATCAAACTCAACCATGGCCAGAGAAAACTCTATAAAGACACTCTCAAGACACACCAAGAAAATAGACATCCACATCAAGTGCTGAGAGGAGCTGCCCACTGACCAAGACCAGTGGCATTACAAACTCAACTTAGTAGTAACTTGTTAACCTGTTTCGAAGCAAAGTATCATGCACACAAAGCATAAGATAGAGCAGGGGAAGATAAAGGAAAGAAATCTAGGTTCATGGGCTATCCTTACTAATGATACAACCTACATCTTTCATCAACAGTTCTGTTGCTTAAGGATTGGACTTTCTAAGACACTTCAAAACCCAATGAGGTATGATAGAGCCATCTTCAAAGTGAGGGATCACTAAGAAACTTAAATACTACAAACTTGTTATCATGGAATAAGACATACCATTTTGACCCGATTTTTGATACATTTATTTGCAACACTTTAAAAAAAACAGATTTTATTGGAACCCTCCATACTTAACCATTTCATTCATGACTGAATAAAATGAACAAAGTTATTTCTTAAAGGAATATTTGATTGCTATAAATAGTAGCACATAGAGTGTTGTCATGAAAGACTGGGCCTAAAAATATAAGGCATCATCATAAGGCAATCAACAATGGTAAATGTGGGAAATTAATACTGCCTCTGAAATGCCATTCCATAAGCCTCATTATGAAATTTGTTTACAAATGGGCCAAATGATAATGAAAATATGCCAGAAAATGGACATCCAAAATGTTGCAAGTGTTTAAAAGTAAAAAATAAGGGAGGAACAAATCCAACCTGTTCATTGAAGTTAAGTGCATTCAGATAGGTCAAACTGTTTTTACAAATTGTTTTGTATTGATATATTTTCAAATACAATACTGTAAGCACATATTTGTTTTGAAAATTTAACAGTAAGAAGGTTATGTGTAAT